TCTATGTTCATCAGTGATATTGGCCTGTAGTTTTCTTTCTTTGTGACATCTTTGTCTGGCTTTGGTATCAGGGTGATGGTGGCCTCGTAGAATGAGTTTGGGAGTGTTCCTCCCTCTGCTATATTTTGGAAGAGTTTGAGAAGGATAGGGGTTAGCTCTTCTTTAAATGTCTGGTAGAATTCACCTGTGAAGCCATCTGGTCCTGGGCTTTTGTTTGTTGGAAGATTTTTAATCACAGTTTCAATTTCAGTGCTTGTGATTGGTCTGTTTATATTTTCTATTTCTTCCTGGTTCAGTTTCGGAAGGTTGTGCTTTTCTAAGAATTTGTCCATTTCTTCCATGTTGTCCATTTTATTGGCATAGAGTTGCTTGCAGTAATCTCTCATGATCCTTCGTATTTCTGCAGTGTCCGTTGTTACTTCTCCTTTTTCGTTTCTGATTCTATTGATTTGAGTCTTCTCCCTCTTTTTCTTGATGAGTCTGGCTAATGGTTTATAAATTTTGTTTATCTTTTCAAAGAACCAGCTTTTAGTTTCACTGATCTTTGCTATCGTTTCCCTCATTTCTTCTTCATTTATTTCTGATCTGATCTTTATGATTTCTTTCCTTCTGCTAACTTTGGGGGTTTTTTGTTCTTCTTTCTCTAATTGCTTTAGGTGTAAGTTTGGGTTGTTTGTTTGAGACGTTTCTTGTTTCTTGAGGTAGGATTGTATTGGTTAAACTTCCCTCTTAGAACTACTTTTGCTGCATCCCATAGGTTTTGGGTTGTCATATTTTCATTACCATTTGTTTCTGGTATTTTTTTATTTCCTCTTTGATTTCTTCAGTGATCTCTTGGTTATTTAGTAGTGTATTGTTTAGCCTCCATGTGTTTGTATTTTTTACAGTTTCTTTCCTGTAATTGATATCTAGTCTTACAGCGTTGTGGTTGGAAAAGATACTTGATACAATTTCAGTTTTCTTAAATTTACCAAGGCTTGATTTGTGACCCAAGATATGATCTATCCTGGAGAATGTTCCATGAGCACTTGAGAAGAAAGTGTATTCTGTTGTTTTTGGATGGAATGTCCTATAAATATCAATTAAGTCCATCTTGTTTAATGTATCATGTAAAGCTTGTGTTTCCTTATTTATTTTCATTTTGGTTGGTATGTCCATTGGTGAAAGTAGGGTGTTAAAGTCCCCCACTATTATTGTGTTACTGTCAATTTCCCCTTTTATGGCTGTTAGCATTTGCCTTCTGTACTGAGGTGCTCCTATGTTGGGTGCATAAATATTTACAATTGTTATATCTTCTTGGATTGATGCCTTCATCATTATGTAGTGTCCTTCTTTGTCTCTTATAATAGTCTTTATTTTAAAGTCTATTTTGTCTGATATGAGAATTGCTACTGCAGCTTTCTTTTGATTTCCATTTGCATGGAGTATCTTCTTCCATCCCCTCACATTCAGTCTGTATGTATCCCTAGGTCTGAAGTGGGTCTCTTGTAGACAGCATATATATGGGTCTTGTTTTTGTATCCATTCAGCCAGTCTATGTCTTTTTGTTGGAGCGTTTAATCCATTTACATTTAAGGTAATTATCTATATGTATGTTCCTATTACCATTTTCTTAATTGTTTTAGGTTTGTTATTGCAGGTCTTTTCCTTCTCTTTTGTTTTCTGCCTACAGAAATTCCTTTAACATTTGTTGTAGAGCTGGTTTGGTGGGCTGAATTCTCTTAGCTTTTGCTTGTCTGTAAAGGTTTTAATTTCTCCATCGAATCTGAATGAGATCCTTGCTGGGTAGAGTAATCTTGGTTGTAGGTTTTTCCCTTTCATCCCTTTAAATATGTCCTGCCACTCCCTTCTGGCTTGCAGAGTTTCTGCTGAAAAATAACCGTTAATAAGCTGTTAACCTCACGGGGATTCCCTTGTATGTTATTTGTTGCTTTTCCGTTGCTGCTTTTAATATTTTTTCTTTGTATTTAATTTTTGGTAGTTTTATTAATATGTGTCTTGGCATGTTTCTCCTTGGATTTATCCTGTATGGGACTCTCTGTGCTTCCTGGACTTGACTATTTCCTTTCCCATATTAGAGCAGTTTTCAACTATAATCTCTTCAAATATTTTCTCAGTACCTTTCTTTTTCTCTTCTTCTTCTGGGACCCCTATAATTCTGGGACCCCTGTAATTTCATGTTGTCCCAGAGGTCTCTGAGACGGTCCTCAATTCTTTTCATTATTTTTTCTTTATTCCTCTCTGAGGCAGTTATTTCCACTATTTTATCTTCCAGGTCACTTATCCATTCTTCTTCCTCAGTTATTCTGCTATTGATTCCTTCTAGAAATTTTTAAATTTCATTTATTGTGTTGTTCATCATTGTTTGTTTGCTCTTTAGTTCTTCTAGGTCCTTGTTGAACATTTCTTGTATTTTCTCCGTTCTATTTCCAAGATTTTGGATCATCTTTACTCTCATTACTCTGAATTATTTTTCAGGCAGACTGCTTATTTCCTCTTCACTTGTTTGTTCTGGTGGGTTTTCACCTTGCTCCTTCATCTTCTGTGTATTTCTCTATCTTCTCATTTTGCTTAACTTACTGTGTTCGGGGTCTCCTTTTCACAGGCTGCAGGTTCATAGTTCCCGTTGTTTTTGGTGTCTGCCCCCAGTGAGTAAGGTTGGTTCAGTGTGTTGTGTAGGCATCCTGTTGGTGGGGACTGGTGCCTGTGTTCTGGTGGATGAGGCAGGATCTTGTCTTTCTGGTGGACAGGACCATGTCCGGTGGTGTGTTTTGGGGTGTCTGTGAACTTATTATGATTTTAGGCAGCCTCTCTGCTAATGGGTGGGGTTGTGTTCCTGTCTTGCTAGTTGTTTGGCATGGGGTATCCAGCACTGGAGCTTGTTGGTCATTGAGTGGAGCTGGGTCCTGGCATTGAGACAGAGATCTCTACGAGAGCTCTCGTCTATTGATATTACGAGGGGCTGGGAGGTCTCTGGTGGCCCAGTGTCCTGTACTCAGCTCTCCCACCTCAGAAGCTCAGGCCTGACATCTGGCCAGAGCACCAAGACCCTGTCAGCCACACGGCTCAGAAGAAAAGGGAAAAAAGAAAGAAAGAAAAATAAAGTTATTAAAATAAAAAAATAAAAAGTAAATTATTAAAATTAAAAAATAAAAAAGATTAAAATAAGAGAGCAACCAAACCAATAAACAAATCCACCAGTGATAACAAGCGCTAAAAACTACCCACCCTAAAAAAAAAAATGAACAGACAGAACCCTAGGACAAATGGTAAAAGCAAAGCTATACAGACAAAATCACACAAAGAAGCATACAGATACATACTCACAAAAAGAGAAAAAGGGGAAAAAAAAAAAAATATATATATATATATAAGGAAGAGAGCAACCAAATCAATAAACAAATCTACCAATGATAATAAGTTCTAAATACTAAACTAAGATAAACATAAAGCTAGAAACAAATTAGATGCAGAAAGCAAACCCCAAGCCTACAGTTGCTCCCAAAGTCCACTGCCTCAGTTTGGGGATGATTCGTTGTCTATTCAGATATTCCAGAGATGCAGGGTACATCAAGTTGATGGTGGAGATTTAATCCGCTGCACCTGAGGCTGCTGGGAGAGATTTCCCTTTCTCTTCTTTGTTCCCACAGCTCCTGGGGTTCAGCTTTGGATTTGGCCCCACCTCTGCGTGTAGGTCGCCCTCTGGTGTCTGTTCTTTTGGGAGGTCTGAGGTCTTCTGCCAGCGTTCAGTAGGTGTTCTGTAGGAGCTGTTCCACATGTAGATGTATTTTTGATGTCTTTGTGGAGAGGAAGGTGATCTCCACGTCTTACTCCTCTGCCATCTTGAAGGTCCTCCCTGCCAACTGATTCTTTAAATCTGGCCCAGACTCTTTAAATCTGGCCCACTGCCTAATTTTGCACAGCACAGGAGCTAAAAATGGTCTTTACATTTTAAAATGACGGAAAAATATCAAAAGTAGTATAGCATTTCGTGTCATGTGAAAGTTATATGGAATTCAGATATCCTGTCCCTGTCCCTGTCCAATATAAGTTGTATTGGAACACAGCATAGTCATTTGTTTAAATACTGTATACAGCTGTTTTTGTGCTAAAAGGGCTGAGTTGAGTAGTTGTGAGAGACCTTAAGGCATGCAATGAGGAAAATATTTACTATCTGACTTTTTATAGAAAAGCTTGCTGAGCCCTGCGCTTAGAGATCAGATTCAGGGAGCAGTTATTTGTGTGCATGTCTGTTTGCTTATTGATGGATGATACTTTTGTGTTGGACGTACCTGGCCTGTGATGTGGTCATCAAAGAAGCTGTAGGAGTGCAGTGGTCCATAGTCTTCTACTTTCCTCATTTCCTTCCCAAAGTCAGAAGAACGTTATTATGTGAGAAAATTAGATTATTAAAGGGACTGTGAGAAGTATCATAGTAACAAATGGAAAGATCTACATATTGACTCAAGAAGTTATGGATTTCTTATCTAACTCGAAGACTTAACACTAGTTCTGTTCCTATATTCCAAAATTTGAAGTTATTTCCTCTTTGGGTCTGAGAAATCTTTTGAAAGGCAAAAATCTTTTATTCTTATGACTCATCATAAAACACAGTGCCATATCGGATGGGCCCTTTGTTCAGTGGCATTATCACATTGAATGGTTCCATTGGGTTTATACTTGCATTTGGCTGTCAGTAGGATATGATTAACAACTGGATAGTAGGGAATACCTTTTAGCAGAATATCTAGGGCATCCTGCTCATTTCCCGTGACAGTTGAATTAATTTAACATTCATGGCTGACATTGAGTCTTTTACCTACCATAATATATATGAAAGTTTGAAATTAATATAAAAGTCATACTGCTACCAGTAAAAAAATGTTAACAATAGTACCATAAAATATTATAAAATTGAAAATATGAGTCATTTTGATTCAAAATCCCTACTGTGTACATGACTGACCTCAGCTGTCCCCTCTTGTTTTGTTCTGTTTCAGAGGTTGAAGGCTGCGTTGACTCACCACCCTGCTGCCATGTCAAATGGGAATATGAACACCATGGGACACATGATGGAAATGATGGGGTCCCGTCAGGACCAGACGCCACACCATCACATGCACTCACACCCACATCAGCACCAGACGCTGCCAGCCCATCACCCCTACCCGCACCAGCACCAGCACCCAGCACACCATCCTCATCCTCAGCCCCATCACCAGCAGAACCACCCACATCATCACTCCCACTCCCACCTTCATGCACACCCGGCACATCACCAGACCTCGCCACACCCACCCCTGCACTCCGGCAACCAAGCACAGGTAGACCTTTTTCATCATCTCTTTCTCCCTTTTTGTTAACAGTACAAGCTCAAATACGGGGCTCACTGGCAGCAGCCTTGTTTGACAAGCTCAGGTGTTCTATCTGACACTCTGGGGGGCTCTGTTCATTTCCTAAGAGGTAATGGTTACCCATAAGACCCTACCAGATCATAGTTTCTATAACTAATAAGGTAAACATCAGGTTTAGTGTCTAGGGGCAAACGTAAGCTTCAGGTTCTCCAAAATCTATTTTTGCTGTGTGTTATAACGTTAACCCTAAAAAAGTAACACCAATGGAGGATTCAGAATTTAAGCTTTAAAGAAAGATGTGAATAAAGGATGAGAAAAATAAGTTAATTCTAACCATGGTTCTATCTGCAGTACTTTATAACATCATAGAGACTCAATTTTGTCACCTGTAAAATGGAAGTTAAATACAGTGGGCAATCTTCTGAATAACAGTAAGTGTTAAAAATATAAAGGGTGACAATTTCAGGCAGACAGAGAGGCCCGGTAATGGATGTTAGGGTGTAAGGTGTTGTGTAAATGGTAAAGAAAGGTGACTCATCCCACCCGGTGAGAAATGTGTTGGAGGGAGAAGGCAGAGAGCCAGGCTCTGCAGATGATCAGTTCAAGAGGAAGGCCAAATCCCAGTGGTGGAAAGTCACCAGGAGTGGCTAGAAAGCAAGCCAGCATTTAGACACAACTGGAAGAGGGTCGGGGGATCTGGCAGACGTTACGTCACCCAGCCCAAGAACAGAGGCAGGTCCATGTACCCGAGTGAGTTTTAGTAAGTGGATGAAGGGCATGTCTAGGAGCATGGCTAGTCCTAGACATTTTGGACCTTCAAGTGCGATGACCTTTGTCAGTTCCCTCCACCCATTCAAACTGCCAGGTTCCAACCAGCTGGGTCAGAATGTTGTCAGAAGCTTGGGATCACACTTATTCACTGTCTCCTCCATTGTCTGCCTCTGTACCTCTCACCGGGCAGCTTTTAGAGATCTTGCATCAACCCCTCCAACACACACCAAACCTGGACAGCCAGCCACAACATGTGTTATCCGTAAGCAACTCTCCATTCAATAGATAAGCTTATTTATTAGCTAAGCTTACTTTTGCAAAGTTCTTAGAGGTATTCTGTATAGCAAATAAGAGTGTAGGCTTTGGAGTGAGAAAGCTTTCATTCTTTTCCCACCTTACTTGTTGTATGACTGTGGTCAGTAGATGAACCTCTCTAAGCCTCAGTTTTCCCATCTGTAAAATGGGGTGATAATAGACCAAGCTCATAGACCCTCAGGAGTATTAAATAAGAGAATGTTTTGCCCTTGGCACAGTTTTCAACACATGATAGCCATGATTAATTCCAAACCGAATAATGTGATAGAAGCTTAGCAAGTAGTTTAGCAATAAAATGCTATCCAAAGCACCTTTTTAGTCATGTGCCATAGTAGGACATATATTTAGAAGGGAAAAAGAGAACTATAATAGATCGACTATAAACTATAATAAGGTCAAAGATAGGCAGATAGATTCACATGTATACTTATATTTTTAAAAAATGGATAGCATCAAGTTTTGGTTGCATTTGTGAGCGAGTTACTTCACAGAGCTTAACAGTTCATTAAATATAAAAGCCATTCATTAGCTAATTACGAATTAGCCAGTTGCCCTCCATCTCAAATCAGTAAGTGGCCAGTTGTATATGCAATCAGTTAATTGCCTTTATAATTGGCTGCACAAAGTTGCTTTTTTATCCTATGCTACTAAAAAGAAAGAGTCCAGGTTGGTCTTGTTGAAATTTGAACAAGATCATTTAGACCATATTCAAAATGCCACTGTTAACTGTATTAACTTGGTTGATATTGAGATTCTTGTCATGTGGCCTAATTGTATGATTGTCAGAACAATAGGAGTTTATTAAGGTCATCCAACTCTGAGATTCTAAGATGACCTGGAATAAATTTTGTCATTTTGAAATTACAGTTAATTATTTTTGACCAAAATTTTCAGAGCATCTGTGTCAACATAATGCCAGTCTATTTATTTTACTGAAGTATAGTTGGTTTATAATATTGTGTTAGTTTCAGGTGTACAGCAAAGTGATTTGGTTATGCATATATATGTATATATCTATATTTTTTTATTCTTTTCCATTATAGTTTATTACAAGAACTATGAATATAGTTCCCTGCACTATACAGTAAATCCTTCTTGTTTATCTATTATATGTATGGTAGTGTGCCTCTGTTAATCCCATACTCCCAATTTATCCCTCCCACCCCACCCCTACAGAATGCTATTTTAAAAAGCTAATGATAGGTTACGATAATTATCAGAGACACAAATTCTGGTCTTAGGGTTGCATTTTCAATTTCTCCTGGCTTCTTGTGATTCTTTTGCATATAAGGATGTGACTTCAGAGTCCTGGTATCACTCCTTGGCCACCAGGAATTTCTCTTAACCAAACCACACCTTGACCCTGAGCCTGGACTGCACCTGAAACCACCATGTAACTTATCCCTTTGGGTAAAGGCAGAGGAGAAGCATCAGGGGATAAAGGCTTGTTAACGTTAGCGTGGTAGAATACAGTATTGAAAGAGAGGTCCCTGCACTGGAGATTAAAACCCAGTTTTGCCTACTTGAGAGTCTTGTCTAGGGCTGGCAGTGAGAGATCACTAATTCATACAAAGAAATGAATGAATTTATTTCATTCATTTTTTTTGCCTGTTAATCCCATACTCCCAGTTTATCCCTCCCACCCCACCCCGACAGAACGCAAAAATAGCCAGGTTAGCACCTTCTTTCCTAGTGCTTTGCTTTGCAGTGGTTAGCTCAGAAGTTACTGCACCTGAAATGACTAGTGCTAAACGTTTGCCAATAACAAGGAATACATCTTCATCAGCTGCTCTGGTGAGTAAGATCTTAGACAATTTATTTTGTTATTCCTCTGTGCTTCGGAGGAAAGGAATTGCCAATAAACAGGTTTAGAAAATGTCTTTGCTTTAAACAAAATTACTGTGATGCAATCTAACCTCAGTCCTGAGACTGATTCTTTTTCAGTTAGTCATGTAGGGTTTGATAGACTTGAGGATTAAAATATATCATCATCAGTCAGCTGATGTCAACCAGGAGCCATTATTAGTGCAATTACAGTTTTCCTGATTGATCTCAATCATAGGGTTGGAATGTGGTAGAAAAGGTGGCTGGGTTTCATTTTTAATACTTTCTGTCTGTTATTTCTGCAGGTTAAATGCCTCTTGTAAAACAGCTTTATAGGTATTCGAGCCATAAGCCTGAGTGACTGAGCAATGAGAGGGAGGAGGAAAAAAAACACCACCACCCTTTACTGAGAATGAAGAAGAGGGAAGGAGTGAAGTGCATTAGGGAAGCATTAGGTGTCCAGACTCATAAACAATCAGTCATAGACATTTCACTAGGTGCTGAGTGTCTGCTGTATGAAGGGAAATAAAGCCATGTGTGTGGGAGTCCCTAAAACCTTAGATGTTGTTGAGCCCCATGCAGACCTTACAAGGAATCTATAAGCATAGTAAAACTTTTTAATAAAGTGCTTTGCCACTCCTAGGATTTCCTTATGATGTCAGTATATACAACCACCCCTCCCTGTCAACAGACACGGTGTATTAACAGGGCTCAGTGCTGCATCAGGATGGACTTTCAAAGGCCCCGCTTCCCAATCACCTAGAAATTCACCCACTCACCATCTCCTGTAACTCCCTCAGCCTTGGTCAAGCTCTGAGGAGGAGACAGGCCCATTTGGAGTCTGCAGGTCCAGCTAGGCATTTGCAGTAAGAACTGTGAAATTGTGACAAAAGGATTTCAGCTGCTTTCCAGGCTTCACGGGGTTCTTTTGATAGGAGTCACAATGGCAGTGCTGTCCCAGAGGTGTGTTCTAGGAACATGGTTTTGACACCATTAGTATGAAGGGCATTCACATCCTGCCCAGAAGGAGTTTTCTGCTGATGACAGAAAGACTCATCAGTAGGGTGACAGTCACCCTGACCTCTGTTTTCACCTGTTGCCATACATTGGCACTTTCAGATTTTACAAGGCACCTTAAATAAAACATTTTTAACATCTGAGGAGAAAAAAATGTTTCTTCTATCATGATTCAGCCAAATGCCAGTCAGGGGAAGAAAAATCTACTTGACTCTCTCTTCGCAGATCATCCCTGTATCTTTTGCCAAAATATCATAGAAGATAACGGGGTGATGCTTTTCCTTTTCATGAGCGGGATCTCATTGTTGACTTCATTCTTAGAAAACAAGTGTAATGTGCTAACTAAAACAAGCGACTCCCTGTGTTTTGCATTTCAACACCTTACCCAGCCGTTCCTCCTCTCTCCCCATCACCCCCTCCCTCTCTTTCCCAGCAGGTTTCACCAGCGACACAACAGATGCAGGCCACCCAGACAATACAGCCACCTCAGCCCACAGGGGGGCGCCGGCGAAGGGTGGTGGATGAGGATCCCGACGAGAGGCGGCGGAAATTTCTGGAACGGAACCGGGCAGCCGCCACCCGCTGCAGACAGAAGAGGAAGGTCTGGGTGATGTCACTGGAAAAGAAAGCAGAAGAACTCACCCAGACAAACATGCAACTTCAGGTGCAGGCCACTGTCTCTCTCCCCAGGACTCAAAGGCCCTGTGTAACACTGGCATTTCCTGCCCCGGCAGGCACTTGTTGACCTAAGCACTAACACCACCCCTTAGCCCACAGAGCAACTGCAGGCTTATTCCTCAAGGTTTATTAGTTCCGAGACACTCTACAAAACAAAACCACCATTCAGTTTTACATCAGTCTTCTCTGAGGAGGGAAACCCTGCCCAATTAAGTTATAGGGCTGGGAGCAGAAGCTTGGTCAGACAGAGGTTCAAACTCTTGTTCCGTACCTACTTGCTGGGTTTAACCTCTCTGGCTCTCAGTTTCCTCATCTATAAAATGGGAATAATAACCTCATAAAGTTGTTGGGAGGAATAAATGAACTAATGTCTACAGAGCCGTTTGTACACAATAAATCTTCAACCAAAAGGCCGCTCTTTATGTCCACTGGGTGAGGGGGTTGCTTCAGTTTACACTAGATTATCTATATTTTTGTTTAGTGGGAAAAAGGGAGGTTTGTGTTTATTATTTTGCTGCATAAGAAAAGGCGTGTTTCCATCTCATTTTTAAACTTGACAAGATTTGAATCTTGCATGATTTTTGCTTTCCATGGGTGGCTCAGTGGGGGGACATTTTATAACCAGGCCACTTCTAGGAGTTTTTGAGAACCTCCAGCACCTGGAGCTTCTCCAGCGGACTTCATGCCATACACATGATGCAGTTCAGGGCATTTGTTCTAACACAAAAAGAAGTGCACTGTTCACCAGCAGAAGAAAAAGCAAGTATTATATAAGTGACAAGCAGTCAGGGATAGCAGTAAAAATCGTGGATTATAGCGCTGGATTATATACAGTGCTTCCAGGAGCAGAGATAATGGCTAAAGAGTGGAGGGAAGAGGGGAAGGAATGCCTAAAGTAGGGAGAATCTGCTCCTCAGTAGTTCGTAGGTCACCTTCACCCCCCCATCCTCTGCGCATCCTCAGAAAGGAGCAATTAGGGTGCCAAACTCCCCTTTGCATCTTTAATTCCATTAAGTGGAAATGGTCTTGGGACGTCCAGTGTACAAACTGAAATTATACAAAGAAAATTTCGGTTATACAGGGACTGACTGTCATCATTTATGGATGTTCACTCTCCCCACCCCCCCACCAAGTTTATCATTCTTTTAATGATAGACATGAGAAAGAAACTAGGAAACGTATACAGCAGATATGGGGGAAGTAAGATAAGAAATCCTCCCACTGGCTTGTACGAAGCTTGTGTGAAGTTGGAGACTCTGTTTCGTTACCCTCTCCCCCGACCACTTACCCCCTTTTCTAATGTTGGGTCTAGCATGGAGAGTTCCTGAGTGTCTGTACTCAGTATCTGTTGAATAAATGAATGAGCTCCCCATCTCTGGAGTGTCCAAGAATCAGCTAGCTGCCTGACCACTTGGCAAAGATGTGATTTAAGGGAATCAAGCCGCAGAGTTTGGCTGGACTCAAACACCGCTGAAACCACTCTAACTTGAAAGTCTATAATTCTAGAATCTGGCAGGCATAGTAGTATGTGAGCAGCTTTTTGGTGGACATGGGTACGCATTTTTAATATTAATAATCATATTTTAATTTTTATGTGTACTGAAAAATGTAATCAGAACATCAAACCTTCAGTTTCACAGATATTTTTGGTAAGGACCAGGCTAAATCATTAAAAAATGAGTTAATTTGTACAAACATGTTAAGTAAAAAAAAGTTCTGGTGTATGTGACCTAGCAAATATCACAGCAGTGGTTTTGTAATGACTGAAACGTGAGAACCCCTGGAATTTGCTACCAGTTCTGAGATCTGCAAGAGAATCATGAACAGGTACAGGTTTTCTCAATCTCAGCACTATTACCTTGGGGCTCAGTAATTCTTTGTTGTCTCCTGTGCAGTGTAGATACTTAGCAGTATCCTTGACCTCTACCCTCTCTAGGTATCAGTAGCACCCTCTACCCCACCCCCAAGCTGTGACAACTGAAAAACGTTCCGACAATACCAAATGTCCGCCATGGGGGGCAAAATTACCCCTGAGTGAGACCCACTGACCTAGATGAAGGAGCCTTGAGTAGTCAGCTGACATGTAATCAGATGCGGACAAGTTTTTAAATCAGTTTTAACTAAAATGAGTCCTTGCAGAATGACCCCAGGGTATTGACCATCATTCTAGAGCCTGAAGACACGGTGGGGGGTCATAGCAGAGAGCCAGGAAAAGTGAGGATACTGGTTTACTTTGACGTCGGATGTGTTCGTGACTTGACATATGAACATATGTTATAGCTTTCACTTAACATATAAGGTACTTAACATATAAGGTATATCCTTTATGCGAACCTAATCTACTTTTTTAAAAGAGTGTATTTTAAAACATGCTTATTGCCAGAAGAGAGATTTTTTATTTTTTTTATTTATTTATTTTTGGCTGCATTGGGTCTTAGTTGTGGCACATGGGATCTTTTGTTGCAGCTCGCGGGCTTCTCTCTAGTTGTGGCACTCGGGCTCAGTAGTTGCGGCCCGGGCTTAGTTGTCCTGCAGCATGTGGGATCTTAGTTCCCCAACCAGGGCTCGAACCTGCATCCACTGCATTGGAAGGCGGATTCTTAACCACTGGAGTACCAGGGAAGTCCCAAACCTAATCTATTAATTTTCACATTTTTAGAACCAAAATGGACGGATAAGAGATACTAGAATTCTAGCCCCTGAAAACCAGAAAAAAAGTCCTATTGGGGCCATTCAACAGGCACCAGTATTTTTGGTTGTTAAAGCAGTGCCTGAGGAAGGGACGGTCCCTGAAAAGACTACGTTGTTGGTGTTTTCCAACCACTGCTTTGCTTCACAGGGACAGAAACCACAAGGGCTCCATGTTTTCTGTGATGCCGAGTGCTCTGCATCATGCCATGCGATGCTGGAGAGGATATGCAGATTCTGCTACCTTTGAATGACCCTTTCCCTCTCACTGGACCTTTGTCAAAAGAAAAAGTTGTCTCTCTTGAGGCTGGTCCAGTGAGCCAAATTTTAAGTAAACAGAAATGGAAGGTGCTACACAAACAAACTCCCGCCAAAAGGAATATCCAAGGTCTGTATGGCCAGCTGCCACTTTTGAGTTGTTCTCCAGCATAAATCTTCTAGTTAGGCTGCAGAGCTTCAGATTGGAAAAATTAGAACTGAGAAAACAAAATCAAACTCCCAGACTTCATTTCCTCATCTCACAACAAATCTCTACCCAAGAGGTCAACACAGGTATAGGAATTGGGGGAAATATTAGAAACCACCCAATCTGACATTTTATTTGGGAGAAACTGAGTCTCGGGGGACATGAGAAGTCTTCCTGAAAGTCACACAACCAGCAAGCAGTAGGATGAAAACCCAAGCGAGTCTTCTCTTGACCTAACCCACTGCTCTGTGATCTTTCATTCTAGAAAGTTCTTCAACTATGAAGGAATCCACATTCTTTTCACTGACAGAGTGGCTGAGATCAGCTCTAAATTCATCAACTGCTAATGTGGTGCTCAGTGGGTTGTGTTCAGTAGATGATACGGAAATCGTCTGGTCGCCTACGGAAATAATTGCTTTTCTTTTTCAGTGCAAAGACACATGGCCTAAGTCGCTGCTGAAATTTTAGACACACGAGCTCAGGTTTAGGACTTGGCAAGAGAATAGGCCAGATGGGAACTGCTGCCGGACAAATTGAAAGTCCTTTGTTTTAGAATGAACCAAACCTGGCCTCAGTTAATCTACAAGAAAAAAAAATTTTTTAAATAGGGGAGGGGCTATGTGGCAGGGCTCATTTTGATGATTATTTTTTTGGCATGGACTACTGCTTGCATCAAAAAGCATTTGGAGTTTATCATATTAACAAAATGACATCCCCCAAAGCCAAAAACTGAAAATGTAGCTATTAGGGACTTATAAGAATGGAATTCAAGGTGTTTTTTTTTAAGGAAGGGGCAATGTACACTTCGAGTCTGGGGGATGGAAGACTGCCTAGAAAAGGTGTGACTGCTGAGGACACAGAGGAGGAAGAAATGGAGACTAAAATCATCCCCTCCAAGGCAGCCGCCAAGTGAGATTTTTCTTTTCTTCCAGAAGTACAAGAAAGCAACAGAATCCTGTTGTTTTATTTTAAATACTTTCCTCATTTGTTTCCTAAATCACGGAAGAAAGGTATGGCTGGATTCACTAAGGACTGGAGCTTTACTCCACTTTCTTAGAACCATTGTCTGCATTATCTGCAACTGACAGTTTCCCCTTAGGGTCCAGGTGTCTAGCAGTTGTGATTTCAGAAAAGTGTTATCTCTATAGTCCAAATACAAATCACGTCACATTTCATTTTGAGGCCAAATATGTATACATTCAAACATCTTAGTTTTCTTTTTCTCCTTTTTCTGTTCTGTTTTTGTCTGTTTTGTTTTTAACCGGGGGCTGCCTTCTATTTAATGGTCTAAAAGTAACTTTCTTTTACGCAGGCTATTTTAAGCAGAGAGGGAGCTGGGAAAAGGAAGGATGGCTATCTGAATTTAAATGGGCATAAAATTAGAGGAAAAAAATAGTGTTTAAGGCTAAAATAAATTGTCCTATAAATAAACTTGTCCCACTGACCCCCAAATTGACAAGGGTCACTTTCAGCTTTGATAGGGCCCCTTATCAACCACACTCATTTGGAGGTGGGAGGTGCAATTCACCTTCCTGAACATTCTCAAATTTAGGAGCAATTTTCCGATGAAATTAAGTGATTTATTCATCATTAGTGCTAATTTCTCAGGCATTTAAAAAAATTTTTTATTGGAGTATAGTTGATTCACAATGTTGTGTTAATTTCAGGTGTTCAGCAAAGTGAATCAGTTATACATATACACATACCCATTCTTTATTAGATTCTTTTCCCATATAGGTTATTTCAGAATATTGAGCAGAGTTCCCTGTGTTATGCAGTAGGTCCTTATTAGTTATCTATTTTATATATAGTAGTGCATATATGTTAATCCCAGCCTCCTAACTTATCCCTCCCCCCTTTCGTCAGATAGGCATAAAAGCCCTGTAGATGAGATTTTTATTATTTTTTTATTCATGCTACTCGACATTTGATTGCTTATAATGTATTTTGCAGATGAATTTAGAATTAGGAGGTATTCTTTGAAACAATTTTCCAAAAGACTTTTTAATTAACTTCAGAATCCCAAACTTACATTTTAGGTGATAAATATATGCCTCAAACGCCAAGTTCATACTGAAAGTGTAGATACAACTTAATGTCAGAAGTGTTGAAGCACGTTTTTCTGTGTGCATGCTTCTGAAGGGTCTCCTCCATGTGGAGTATGAGCGCGCGGCAGCCACAAATGAACATCGGCCAGAGAGAGGTATTATTTATCACAACTGTAAAATGGCTTATTTGAGGTAGTGCCTCGTTTACAGTTTACTTTTATCAAGTGGCAGCACCTCGGAACCATCTGTTCTACATTTATACAGTTGTCCGTCAATATCAGCGGGGATTGGTTCCAAGACTGGCCTCAGATCCCGTAATCCGCTTATGCTGAAATCCCATCCTCAGCCCCTGTGGTTCCGCATCCTCAGATTCAGTCAACTGCTAATCGTGTAGTATTGTTATCTGTTGAAAAAAATCTGCACAGAAGTGGACCCGCACAGTTCAGACCCGTGGTGTTCAAGGGTCAACTGTATTTGTAGACGATGGTGCCAAGTACATTATTCCACAAACTATGAACCTATCTTTGTGAATTACTACATAAAGTGGAGATTTGTGGCACTTTTCTAAGTAAATCCACAACACCCTGATATTGAGGAGGGAAAAAGTTTATAGACTGAAATTAGCCAAACTAGTTAATGAACCAATCAAATTAACTCAGTCATGGCCCTAAACTCTATTGCCCTTGGCCTCCCTGGGCTGACCTGATCCCACCAGTAGAGGACCTACATTTGCTCTGTATGCTTCCATGCTTCCTCCTAAGTGGCATCAGGCAGAAGGACGTGCTTTGTTGAACTGTAGCCCATGAAGAACTTCTTTTGGGAAATCGGCTTATTCTGAGGGCATTTCAGTTGGAAGCCGCTCACCCTGCCACACAGTTCCTCCCTGTGCCTCACGTTCACCTTCTATTCGTGGTCAGTGTCAAACCTGAACCTGTAAGATAGCATGGGGACTTCCCTGGCAGTCCAGTGGTTAAGGCTTTGCCTTCCAGTGCAGGGGGTGTGGGTTCGATCCCTGGTTGGGGAGCTAAGATCCCACATGCCTCGCAGCCAAAAAACCAAAATATAAAACAGAAGCAGTATTGTAACAAATTTCAATAAAGACCTTAAAGAAACATGGTCCATGTCAAAAAAAAAAAAAAAAAAAAAAAAAAAATACTTAAAAGACAGCCTGAAGAGAATTATTATGAGAGCTAAATTTATTGAGCACTTCGTATGTGCTAGGCATTGTTCTGCATGTTTTGCATGTTACCTCATTTAATCCTCACAACAACTCAAAGAACTTTGTACTATTTTCATTCCCATCCAAGGCTGCTAGAGCTTAGCTGGGTTATGTTACCTGCCTAGAGTCATCCAGTCAGTGTAGAATGGAGGGTCCCACCTAAGTGACTTTTAATAGGATTAAGCTCTTGAGTTAAAACCTAGTCTCTTCAGAAAGCCCCTGGTAAACCTGAGGGCCAAATCAAAGGCAAGCTACAAATTTTCAGGTGAATCCCGTTAAATAATATTATTAATGTCATTCAGACATAACAGAAAAGAAGTGTGCCAGTTACACTGTTGAAAGTGCACGGGGCCTTGGGTTTGTATTCTCTGGTCTTCTTAACATGACTTGGATCCGTCTCTTTCCAGAATGAAGTGTCCATGTTGAAAAACGAGGTGGCACAGCTGAAACAGCTGTTGTTAACGCATAAAGACTGCCCTATAACAGCCATGCAGAAAGAATCACAAGGATATCTAAGTAAGTCATTGACTTTTTTGCTTTTTTTAGTGTCCAGTTTTTTTGCCACCAGTTTCTCATTGGATTTATTGAAAGAACAAAAGTAAAGCATAGACTGCACACCCAGGTGGATATCATGCTAGAATTCTTGAGTGGCTGCCAGACTACTGCACCAGAGGGAACCCTTCTTTTCTGACCCCATTCATCACCGTGACCGCCACCTCCTAATAATTTCTGGCTAGACGTTCCCTGGCATTCCACATTGTAAAATCCCAACAAATTCCAATTCTGCAGCCAGTAGGAGCCCAATTACTGGTGGGCTAGCAGTCTTTTCTGGGCTGGGAAACAGGCTTTGGGTGAATTATATCCAGTGCCTCAGGATATGCTACATGTTATTCACCGGGCTGAAAAGCTAGTGACCTTGTCTCAGTTTACCAATATGTAAAGTGGATCTGTTTTTCTAGATCCCAATATCTGCACCTGGAATGTCAATAGGTTCAATGCTAATTGAGTAGGGGATGGCGGAAGAAGGGGGGATTCATGGCTGAAGGTCAATTTCTTTTCAAATAATTTTTTAGATTGAGCAACACAGATTCTCCCACCACATGTGAGTATTTTTCCACATTTGATATATGGATGGCTCTTTGAAAAGACAAGATGGGGACTTCACATGCCACAACTTAAACACATCAACTCATGTTGCTGATCTAGAAAGCATGGCTTTGCTTGTAGCTATAAACTGGGAAGGCATAGCTTTGTGACTTTAAAATAAAGGTTTGGAATTAACTTCCAGGAGAAAATGTGTGAAACGCTCCTATTTCTAGCAAGCATCTAGCAATATTTTTTGAGTAGTCTCCAAGTCCACCCAGGAAAGAGCTATATTGGTGTGTGTGTGTGTGTGTGCTTTTTCCTAGGTCCAGAGAGTAGCCCTCCTGCAAGCCCCGTCCCCACGTGCTCTCAGCAGCAGGTCATCCAGCATAACACCATCACCACTTCCTCGGCCGTCAGCGAGGTGGTAGGAAGCTCCACCCTCAGTCAGCTCACCACTCACAGAACAGACCTGAATCCGATTCTCTAAAATCCGAGGGTCAGACCTTGCCTCCAAGGAGAGCTGTCGCATATCCTGCGTCCTTTCTTTTAAGGGCATTTTTAGAATTAACTCAGACCTGGAAGACTCCTCAGCCCTTCAAAGACTGGCTTTCATTTTTATAGTTATTATGGAAATGTTGTCTTTTATACTTAGTTATATAAGCAAAAAAGGGAGTTATGCAATTAATAATCTATCAGCTTGGGAAATGCTTTGGTGCTTTTCTCCAATTTTCTGGTACCAGTTACTTGTTTATAAACTGAACTCTTTCTGTATATAGTCATGGTTTCATTCTTATCAGTCCAACCCTTTCCCTGAAACGTTGAATCTTGTTAAGCCACAGCTTTTAGCCAAAATGAGGCGTACCTAGATGTCCAGTATACAGACTGCGAGGCAACTGGGGGAGGAGTCTGATGATGTCATAGCTTATGCTGAGTTGGTGCTATGATATCACCAGAATCCCAGATAAATGGAGAGCCTTTTCCACAACCCTGTTTCTCTTACTATAAAAAAAGTATAAGCTCCATTGATGTCCAAATAAAATCAGCAAGCGTCTCACCACCTCTCCTCCTGCTCTTGGTCCACTTCCTTGAATGCCCAATTTTCCTTTCCATTCCCACTTTTACCTGGGCTCCCCATTGACTCTGTTTTGTTTTTACTTTCTTCTGTTTTATTTTTTTCCCCTTTAGCATTGCATGTAAAGAAGAAACTAATGTTTAAAGGAAAAAAAAAAAAAAAAACTAATGTGGACCTAGCCATGGCTTCCCTTGCCCCTGACCCATTCAACTCTTGCTTTTTACAAAAGAGTAACCGGGAGATGTTTAATGTGCCTGGTTTAATGTTTTTAATAATCAGAGCAAATAAAAGGTGGCTTAGCCGTAGGCGAAGCACCGTTGAATGCCAGCTGTGGAGACACTAGGGAAGGGAGCTTTATAAGCCTCACTTGTGGAAGTCCAAATATGATGCAGGGCTAGAACATCATAGCCTCGAATTACAACTGGTTTTATATGGCCTGTCTATAATGTTGAAAATCCATGTACTATACAATAATTCAGAGGGGCTCTATTCACTACACAGATTATGTTGTTCAATCATTAGCTGCTAATAGCCTAAGATATATTATTATTTTTTTCTTAAGCCTATGGAACCGTCTTTGCTGTTCTGGTGGGTGAAAGTAGACGAACTACTGGAGGAACAGAGAGAGAAAGAAAACCTAATGTTTCCATGGAGGTGCTTTCCGCCCTCCCACAGCAGTTAAAGCACTCTGGCTGCTCAAAGTATCCCCTGGATATGGCTCCTCCACTCTTCTGAATAATTCTGATTTATACTTTCAGCAACTTTCCTGGACTTGCCCATTATAAAAAGCAGATAGTCCGAACCACAGTTTTGCCTCCTTGAAACAAGCCATTCTACTGTGCTAAGGTTTTAATATCACATCTCACAAATAACTGGGGCTAATGTTCTTCTCTAGTTGTCTAGGCAGGTGCTGGTGTTTCATCTCCATTTGAATGCTTGACCTCCAAACATGAGTGTGTGTGTGTGTGTGTGTGTGTGTGTGTGTGTGTGTGTGAGAGAGAGAGAGAGAGAGAGAGAGAGAGAGAGAGAGAGAGAGAGAGAGAGAAAGAGGGAGAGAGGGAGAGGGGGAGAGAGAGAGAGAGAGAGGTAATGGGATTTTAAAAAAATAGTATTTTACAAAAGGTGTAGCTTTTATAAGAGTTCGGAAAAGGGAAGGATGTGGTTTTTTTTCTCTCAGTATAGTGTAAGAATCTATTTTGGAGAAAAAAAGAAAATATAAGGGTCATGAAGCATGGTTTTTATAACTAGTTTCAGTTTTATCTAATAACTTACTTTTTAAATCAATATTTATCAACAATCTTTTCATGTATGCAGTGCTTTCAAAAAGAAAGTTTTGAGTTTCCAGGGAAACGCATAACTTGGATATATGATCTAAAAAATGAAAACAAAAGCAAAAAAAAAAAAGAGAGAAAAAAGAAAAAAATGCAAACAAGAAAAGGATTTTCTATTATACTTTAGACAAACATATCATTTTTAAGTATTTTAAATACTGAATTCAGTTGTTTTGTTTTGTTTTGAATCCCAGCTGTAATAGCTGAATGGTTTAACCTAACTGGCTTCCTAAGAAGTTTAAGATTTAGCTAAAAAAGCAGTTAACATTCTTGTCTCTATTCTGAAATCAAAAATAATTTTTTCTAAACTCCTTCCTAGGACCATTTATGTGTCCCCCTAAAAAGGAGAAAGAGCTCATTGAAATATTTGTTTGGGTATTTTAATTTTTAAGAAAATTTTTGTTTTGCTTTAAGTGAAAAATATTTTCTTTCTTTACTGCATGCATAGCACTTAATGAAGTGGATTTTTAAAAAATCCACTGGTGATATCAGAATGTCCAAGGAGTGGGCTGTCACTAAAATTATGGTTTACTTTACTTCTGTTCCACCTCTTAATTGAAATATTTAGTTGTTAAACCAAAAGCCTCTGCAGTTAAGAACTTGCCTGAGTTTTAATTCAGCAGCTTGATGGTTTGACTGATGTGCATTATATATAGCTCAATTATGTCTGTTTTTTATGCTAAGAAGGCAAACCACCACACACAGGTTAGCAAACGGGCCTCAACGTATAATTAGAATAAACTGTCTTCTTATTATTTATACTCAGGGCCTTTAGGTATGTTCATTAGCAGTGTGGAAATACAGTGAACGGAGGATGCCAGCAAGCTGTCAGAGCTTCTTGAAATCCTGAACAGAAAGGCTCATTGGTCAAATCCAACACTCGGCTTATCATTATTAAATATTTCACTTGAAGGCCTAGCTTTCACCAGACTGTAGAATAATCTGTCTGCCTGAAAATCTCTCCATCTTGTCCCACACTTTTTGCCAATCTGGGGAAGCATTCTGCCCCGTTCTCCTCTCCCACCCAGCTACTGGGTCATCCATCCATACGGTCACAGATCAGTTGCAATGACCTTCAGAGCACCCATCCTGAGGAGGGAGGGCCCGCAGCGCAGCACTGCCTCTCCTCGTTCACAGGTGGGTTTCTGTCAGCAGGGTCTGCTTCTGAAGTCACTGCCAACCTGCCTGGAAACTTCCACAGCGCCTCCCCTGCCTCCTGTGACAGGAATTAGCAGCCAAGATAGGGACACCTGATAGCACTTTTACCAGGTCAGTCCTTAACCTACACTGAGGCATTCCCATCTTAATTGTTTCTCCTTAAGACGTTTCTGAACATATGCCAGGACAGGTAGAGTGAAAATCCTCTCTGTGCATGAATGGACTCGTTTTAACGCCTGGCGTGAGGTCGGATGTTTTCCCTTTACCCTTCCCCTCAGCCCTCTCCTATCTCCACATCAGTGTTTGCCAGTCACAGTCTTAACACGGCCCATGGGGACGAGCCATTTGTGTACTGTCACTGCATGCCTTCTTTTCATTAGGGTGACTTACTTGGAGCAGTTGCTCTTTGGAGCCTCTCAGGTCCAAGAAATCAAATGCAGTGCATGTTCCGAATAGAGGGGCATCCGTGGTGAATGTGCAGGTGGCTGTGGTCTGTTAGTTCAGAAAATTGTCGTGTGTTAGTTGAGCATGTCATTAAAATGAACCAGCTGCCATAAAAGACCAGCCTTTGGCTGGGGGGTTTTAAGCATCTGTAACTGCTATAAACCTAGCCATCCAGTTAGGATAGAATGTGCTTCTTTCTGGTTAATAAAAAACCATCTAAGAAAATATATATGTATGTATGTGTGTATACAGTGGAATTCAAGGACCAAAGCAAAATTTGAACAGGAATCTATTAATTTAGAATTTTATAAGATATTTATTAATAAATGTTATTTTTAAACATTCCATTTGAACAATATTCTTCTGTAGGATCTACTTGTTTTTAAAGGATTAGTTCATAATAAACTACTCTAGTTGTGTGTATCTTCGTTTTACAGGGTTTCAAATGGCTATTCTCCATCATTTGGTGGAAATGTTTGTTTAGACCTCTGTGCTTAGAAATTTCAAGGATTTGTATTGCTCTGTGAGTTATTTTTTAATCTGTGTTCGGAACAGTTTTAAATCATCTATTTCTTTTTTCATTTTTAAAGTAAGCTCTTTCCTTTAGGAAGCAGAGTTCAGCTAAAGGGAATCGGTAACTATAACTGGAACAGCTCTCTTGTAAAAGTGTAAAAACAGCTTCATCTCTGCTTCTGCCCACCGCACCCCAACTTCCCAGAATGCCTTGCACTATTCAGCTTCCTTAGTGCTCTTCTCGTCCCTTCCCAAACTGTGTGCAGTAGCTTTAAGCCATTCAAGTTCCATTATGCAGTATATCTGAGAAGGAAAAGGAAATAACCCGTTTAGATTGGAATAAAATCGTGCCTATGCGAACAGTAGCAATTTAGAATCACTCTTCTGCTTTTAAAATAATTTATATTTTAAAATTGCACTTTAGCATTTGTAATCCCCGTCAGTTTCTCTCGTTCTCTTTCAGACCTCCTCCCTGCCCTTAAACTTGCCTTCACCCTTCCCTTCCCAACTACCCCACGCTTCCTCTAAGGCTCTGAGCTGCATCATTTAAAATACTTTATGGAATATTTGCACCAGGTACATTTGCGTGCGTTCACCAGTAGCAGAGCCAAGACGCGTTGCTCACATCAACCTAGATGAAGCCTGCTACGAGAATGCCAAGGAGAAGAGCCAGTTTATACTCTTTCTCCCTTTATTCATAGCATGTTTTTTAAAAATGTTATATTATGCAACAGATGTGAGGGAGCAGCTATGCTACACTTAAGAATTTTCTATCTTATCCTCCAACCAAAGTGTGCTGAATGAGCCAGGAGACATTCTTTTGTGCATCACCATGCACGTCAGACTGTCATCCTCGCCATCGTCTCTCTGGGCTGCTGAAAAAAAAAACGGTGACCCTAACTATTTCACTCCTAGGTCTCAAAAATACAATGTTGCCTTGTACCATAATTAGGGACAGCACCTCTATTTTACAGTTATAACCTAAGAAAGGACAAGAAGACACTGAAGCAATAAACTTACAAGTAAGATCCAATACCAAAACAAAGGAAAAAAAAAAAACCAGCTCATCATGTTGTGAAAATGAAAAAGTGTATGTCCGTTCAAAATATTTTACTATTTCTTGTGGAGTTTTTCAGTGATGTAATGCTTATAGCCAAATTGCTTAAAGAGTGTTTATATATTTTTTTCCTTATAAATTGTCTATTTTTTAAAAAAGCTATTTAACCACAAGTTGAAGAGGGGGGGGTAAGGCCAAATTGCCAGCATTTCTTAAAAGATTAATATTCTTAAGTGGCACTCTGATACCTTTCCAAGCTTATCGTCAGAAGGGGATCAATAATTATCAGCTGTTATATTTAGACCAACTTACAATATCTAGCTCATTAGAAGCCAGGATTTAGAAAGCTCTTCTTAAGCCATTGAAGATTTTCTTGCATTGTGTTTCGTTTTATAGAACTTTATAGGATTTTTTTTTTTTTTAACAGAATCATTTTAGCCTCAGGACTGAGAATGTGGAACCTGAATAAATTAGCTTTAAATACATCATTAAAATGTTATGCACAATAAGCTCATTAGAGTCTAGTTTGCTCCTTTAGAATACCAAGGCTATAGACGCTACAGGACATGATGAAAGGTATCAGCCATGCTGAAGTGGAGGGGGTTTCAGAGAAAGGACCCTTCCCCACCAGCCAGCCAATAGAACA